GATATTTTTTCTTCTAATTTTTCAGATAATTTACCCCGCAATTTTACCTCAAGTTCCTGAAAATTTCAAGGAAAAATAGTCATAACTTTTCTGAAAAACAGTCATTTTACCGGAGGAAATTTGGCAACTCTCGAATGTTCACAGGGCGTTTTTCCTTACCACAGCATGGCAGTGCTGCCTTAGGTTTTTGTTCATGCTTGATGCATTCTGCACGGAGACTAAAACTGCTGCAGAGAGGAGAGCAGTGGCGCGGCGTGAATTGCGATGTATCGATTACTTTGCCATTTAAACCTGCGGTAAAGAATCGATTATTAAGGTGTTCGCTGCGAACACCCTGATAATCGATCTTTTTTCATAGGTTTGAGTGGGGTATCAATCGATTTATCGCAAAGCACGCCACGCCATTGGGATAGTGCTTCACGAGAGTCAGTAAATGCAGCAATAAAATTTTGATGAAATGGGCCTGGTCCAAAGTAGCAGGGAGCGAGACTGGTTGTGATTTGATCGAAGAATGTATCGCGATTTTATCGACGCCGATTTATTGAAATATTATCGGATGAAAAAAAGCGATGAATTGCGATTTCATCGCGTACATTTGCAATAAAATCGCTATTTATCGTGATCACTGCTACTTGGAATATTTGCATATAAACCGCACAACCGATTAATTTCATTTAAAAAATTAAATTGCCCAGTAAATTTAAAAAAATGCCTCACGAAATCATCCTTAAAATGGTGACATTGCTGTACAATGACCAAAGAAACATGAGATAACGCGGGTGCCTGCCATTTACGCGGAAGCACGCATGAGCAATTACCTCATCCTTCTAGTTTTTATCAGGAGTTCCTTCCTTTACTCACTTGTCTCGACCGGCAGTTACCATTAGTTCAAATCATATTGACAGTGCTCATAAATATCTTTGTGAGCCGAGTAGAGTTATTGCTGAAAGGCAATACTGTGGCAACGTTGCGCGTTGTCAACAACATTTTTGGCAACATTTCAATAGTCAAATTTCTAAACCACATTTCCTAATTCGTTGTTTTCCGGACGAGGGAACACATTCTAAGGTCGCAAAATTGTCGCAAACAATTGGATTTTCAATTTCCAAAGATTTTCATTTTTGTCTAAAATTTTTTGATTTTTGCATGAGATCAGAAGAAAATTTAGTGAAATTTTCACAAAATTTACTAAATTCCTCTGAATAAAATGCAATTTGCACTTTTTTTTGATGAGGGGAAAAATTCGCTACAGTGCAATTTTTACTTCAAGCTGCGTTTTGGGGATACATAGAGCCAGACCATTTTTGAACAATTTTAATCGGTTGAAAAAAAAATTAATATTCATAAGTTATTCCCTACTTCCCCCTCCCTTACCCATTCCGACCCCTCCCCCTCCCCTCTCTCAGATTGAAGCGTGCGATCAGCGACGCCGTAAATTGCGTTGGTTAGCGTGTTGTTAAAAGCACGAGGGCAAGGAAAGCCAGGAGGCGCCTTCAATTTTTAGGTATGCAACCCGGGCATCCCGAGAACACGAATAGTTGCATCCAGGCGTTGTTATTGTAGAATAGAAGGCTTGAACCTCTTCTAAATAGTTACAACGCACAATGCAGTTAATACTGAATACTTAATGCTTGAAACACTTTATTCGTGTCTATATAACTGCTAATGCAATGTTATTTGAATTCGAACTGAAACACGTTTGCGATAAAATGGCGAAATTTTAACACCCTGTTTCATAATATCTTGATCATTTGAAGAGTGTTACATGTTGGTTTTTTTAAATTTATTTTTACATCATTCTTATTTTAATATTCTGGAATGTACTAAGATACCGCCTTGGACTTTTTCGTCTATTTTGCATTTAAAAAAAAAAAAAAAAAAAAAAAAAAAAAAAAAAATTAGATTAATCGATTGTTATGCCATTTTAACCCATGGAAAAGGATCGATAAACAGGGTGTTCGCAGCGAACATTTTAATAATCGATTCTTTGCCATCGGTTTAAATGGCATAACAATCGATGTAGATATATCAATTCACGCCACGCCACTGGAGGACGGAGGATACTTTTTAAGACTTGTGAACTTCCTGATATTCGGCTGTAACGACGTTACCTGAAGTTACCAACCATGGTCCACTCTCCCTCTGCCGAGTATTAGGACTTGTAACGAAATACGTGGTCTTTATTACATCCATTTTCAGGGGCGGATCTAGCAATTTGGCAACAATGGATTCCCTCCGTTTACACCTATGTTAAATAATCGATTCTTGAAGGGGCCAGCTAGGTGCCCCGATTATTCAAAGTAGGTTTAAATGGAGGAGAACAGTGTTGTCAATTTGCTGGATCCGCCAATGTTCATTTTTTCATGGGGATATCAAGTAAAAAGAAATTCTCAATACAAGCTTACGCTTAATGTTGCACATCGCCGGTGCTTCAACTCTAGTTGTTCTTATCTCACCTCGTTTGTGACCTGAATTTCGAAGCAAATATCTGCATTTCTCACCTTATTCGCAGTATGCGCGCATTATTCTTCGCTCCTCTGACGTAAGAGCGTATCTCTCCTTTCACTTGAGTTCCAGAAAGCATTTAAATATATGGACAGTAGGGCTTACGTGGGAGTTGAGATACGCCCTTATGTCAGAGAAGTGACGAATTGCGGCTAACCTCATGAATAAACCGACGCGGAGAGAGGTTTTTGAGATAAAGAAAAGTCATAGGTTTTCCTCTTGGTTTTGTGGAATGGAAACCATAGGTCATTGCTTTCCGTAGATTCAAAATCCGTTTCACTCGGAGGAACTCAGTGTCTATACTGCCGTGCTAAGGAAAAATGCCGTATGAGCCTTTAGGCGTTGCCAAATTTCCTTCGATAAAATACACATTTTCGAGGAAACTGTCTCAAATTTTTCTTCCATGTTTTCAGAGAAATTCACTCTTAGTTTGATTCAAAGTTTGGGGAAAATTCAAGGAAAAATATTCGCAACTTTCCTAAAAAATTACTGTTTTCTTAGGCAAAATTTGGCAACTCCTAAAGGCTTATACGGCGTTTTTCCTTGGCACGGTAGTACAGTAAGGAGCTGCTATGAGGATCGCTACCTAAATCTGGATGTTTCATTTTCATATTGTTTTTGGGATGAATCTAGCTTAAAATACCTTCATTTTTAAGCTATGTAATAAACGTACATCGTAATATTACTGCACTGATATAAAGGGTAAAATATCTGTAGGTAAGCATAAGTCGTAATTAAGTTGCTTTTTGCCCTCGCAATCTCAGCTTCTGGTCGCATATTTGCCACGGCATGCAATCCAATGGTGGGAAGTGTTTTTGCTGTATTTAGGTTAAAATTAAGGATTTCCTTTAAAAAGAGGAGGGGAAAAATTGCCCACTCCTTCCGGTTAATTTCACAGTTGATCTTATTTCGGAGAAATATCGTTTAGTTTTACTTATATACTGACGGAACTCCTAAACCACATATCTCGTTGGCGGTGTTTACAAACCTCTGATCCCATTTTATCCTAGGACAAATCCAAATCGTTCCTTGAAGTTTTCACAGAATTTTCCTCGAGGGAAACTTACGGAAGTTTCAAAAAATTGACGTTGAGTAGTTTTCCATTTGAAACATTAAGTGTGGCGAGAAGATTGCAATGTCGCAAACCGAGATACGTGGTTTGGAAGTTTCACCGTCGTCAGGTTAAAATGAACTGTGTGCTAATAGATTCAGTGGCAGCCAAAAGTGAAGCACGTCTGTGTTATTCATGCTAAAGTTCCTTTTGATGTAATTCATTGTATTACATTGTTCCTTTAAACATAAATTCGTTGAATTTTGATTAAGTCAAGCGCATTATCCAAAATTCTCAGAAATCCTGACTTTTCCTCCAAAAGCAAATATTGCCTTTTTTTGACAACTCCCAGATTTCCTAAGATTTGGCTCAGATGACACCCCTTGTCCCTTGCTAAACTAAGTTTATGAAGACAAATTTTACTGCTGAGCAGGACGCCTTCAATTTTGGAGTATGCAACACGGACATATCAGGAACATGACAAGTTGTATCAAATAGTTGCAAAACGCCGTATGAGCAATAGCATTCGAACGCTGCCAAAGTTTTCCCTATCAAATATTTATACTTGAGGAAAGTTAAGAATATTTTTGGTTGAAATATTCAGATACTTCAGTTTAAGTTGACGGCCAAATTCTATGTAAGATTGAAAAAAACAACATTACCAGGTCTCATTGAAAATTCGTTTTACATTAAAATAAATATAGCAAACTACAAAGGCTCATACGGCATTCCTAATTAGCATGACATTATTGAAATTGACAGACAAAGCTAAATACAAAGTAAATACAATGAAAATGGAGGCAACGAGTGGTTGTAATCGACGAAGGCGGTAAGTAATAGACTAAGTAACGGCAATCCACGAGGAACCCGATCATTTCCTCCTTAGTCCATGACAGCCACCCATTTCAACCAATAAACTGTTTAAAATCCAGGAGTGAAATTCGGTGCCAGAGTTTATATAGCGCCCAAGGTCCCCCATGAATGCGAGGTGAAATCAGCACTATAAAAGTGCATTTGAGGGTCTTGGAGGAAAAGGCACATAATTGCAGTTTTTGCTATTTCGAGAAATACGTGTTTGAAGCTTCGAAATTACATGGATCCTTATGTTGGAAAGAAAGTTCAAACTGTCTTTTTGATGCTTAGAAATCAGAATTTGGGAGCGAATTTTTCACAGAATATTCATTAAGAATAGATCATTAACATCTCAATTTTTCCAAAAACTGCACTTATGCGCCTTGCCGCTTCATTTCTCCTTCATCTTTGTCCATTGCTAAGTCTATCGCTTTGCCAATCACTTTGTCTATAGCTTCGTCGATTGCTTTGTCTTTCGCTTAGTCTATAGCTTTTCCTATAGCTGTGTCTAATACTTTGTCCATAGCTTTGTCTATAGCTTCGTCTATCAATTTCAAATCAGCCGGCAGATCGAGATGAAGGCTGTACTCACCGAGGTTCCGCGGGTGTAGGCCTTCTCGACCTCCTGATCCCGGAGGGGTATGCAAACCGTGCTGTCGTACACCTCACTGCCAACAAAGAAAGAGACGGCATAGTACAACAATGCTAACATCACTGCCGCACATATCGCTCGCGCCCCGATCATCCACGCACCGCCAACACACACGCCCGGCTCGCATTTCCGTCGCGGAGCAACTGGCTCACACTCGAACCCGCGCCGCCTGCGCCTGGTAATTAGGCTCCCCGCACAGCAGCCCGGGAACCAGGGGGGGAGGGGGGCTATCTAAACAAATTACCCTGGAAAACTCCTTGTTTTGCGTCAGGTGTGTATGCACTCTCGGGCACTGATTGTGTTCCAGTCCTTCGCGGCCGCACCGTGGATCGAGTCAATAGGAGAGGTCGGACAAAATTTGGAAACTTTAAACGCTTATAATTCCGTTTATACACAATTTTGAGGTTCTAAAAGTGGTTTAATTGGTTTTCTCGGGAAATTTTCTTCGAAAAGCACCCATTGGAATGTAAAATGTGACGAAATAAACATGAAAATTTGCAGTTTTAGTGAAAAATTTCATGTCCGACCTCTCTAATTGACTCGATCCATTGTGGGCCGGCTCGGGTCTGTGCGACTGCGCGTGGCGTGAACTTTTAGGCACTGTTGCTTGGCATCAGTGTTCGAAACTCACCTTAGAGTTTCAGGAGCCATGTGGCCCATCTAGCTCAATTTTTAGGGACCATTGAAGATTTTTTAGGGCCAAATTGACTTTTTGCCAATATATCACGGCGCATTTTGTAGAACGTTAGACGCAAGATGTTTTAGTTACAGGACTAGTAGTCGTAATATGTAACTTTCAAAAAATCACCAAACAGATTTTTTTTTTTTTTGGGGGGGGGGGCAATTTTTAGGGGCCACGGTGGCGAAGAGCCTTCATTTTTAAGGCGTCATGACCGATTTCTTAGGCGCGTTTGGCACGTTGGCGCCGGTGAGTTTCGAACACTGCTTGGCATTGTGTTTGAAGCATTTCGATGTCCCAAGTGCGAAAACACGTATCTGCGATGCTGTGTTTCAAAATGTCTGCTCTTGGTTCGTTTTTTCGAGGAGAAACAAGGCAACTAAATGGCTTAAAATTTACACGGAATCTGTGAATAGACCGATTGGACCGTTCGAGTATTACCACAAAAATGGTACTTATTAAGTCGTATCCAAGTAAATATTAAGACGTTAAAAGGATGGTAATTTTGAGGGTCTGGGGAGGAATAATATAAGAATTTTATCGACAAACTTACGACAGACGGCATTGGGCCCATCGAAGACCCTTAAAAGATTGAGTGCCGAAGCTGACTTGAAAAATTACTTTTTAGCTCGTGTCCAATTATGTACAAAATATGCTGTAGATAGAAAGCAGTTTCATTGGCGGAAATGTAGAGCTCTGGACTTGCGCGTGCGGTAAACTCAAAATTGGATGAACGAGGTAGCTCTGGTCGAAAATTTTGGGAAAAATTTTTCGCATGACATTCTGAAAAACCTCTCAGGGCTGTTTTCTAGTTGCCCCTCAAAAGCAGCGGTGGAAGGTATGCAGCCCTGCTAAGAAAGAACGCCGTATGAACATTCGAGAGTTGCCGAATTTCCCTTGATAAAACATGTATTTTTGACAACACTCATGCATATTTTTCCTTAACATTGTTAGATACTTTTAATTAAATCGTGCACAAAATTTTCTGAAAATTTTGGAAAATAATATTCACAATTTTTCCAGTAATTTCGGTTTTTATCGGAGGAAACTTGGCAACGTCTGAAGGCTCATACGGCGTTCTTCCTTGGCACGGCAGTATGGGAGATGGCTAAGCTACTACGAGCAACTATTACTGCTCGGGAGCCGCTCAAATTGCCGAGTCGATATTTTGAAGGCGAAATGGTCTCGGTAACAGACACTCCGCGAGCAGGAATGAAATGGACTGCATTTTGTAATCGGACCGCATTTAGCAAAAAGGAACCAGCGCGATTACAGTGTTTTCAAAATCGTGCAACTTCTCCTCATCTTTTAAAAATATTCAATATATGTGCAATATCAAAATTTACACAATTATTTTCTTTCAAAATAAAAAAATTTTCGGCGGAAAGCCAAAGCTATTTGCTATTCTGGGAATTCTTTTTAGATGATTATGAAGGAGCAACATTCTCACAGCACCGGGATCGCGCTGGTTCCTTTTTGAGAGTTCGTCTTGATGCAGAGGTGGACTCTCAGGATAGCGTGGGATATCCCCTCCATTTTGGTCTCGACTTGAGAGCTTTTTTCGAGCTTGAGAGTTGATTTCAGAGAAAACCAGTGGCACCATCGTGTTTTTCGCGAACTTTTACATAATAATAAACAGTCAAATCGCAAATTCCTCACACATGCAACATCTCCATTTGTGTTATCTTTATTCCCGTTTGTGACTCCAAGAGGGGGTGTTGTCTTGTCTCTCAGTATAAAGGGACTCTTTCTCCCTAGCACGGGAGGACAGGTAGAGAAACTTACCCCGACTTGAGACTATCGAGGAGGGTTTGGAGGACGCACTGAGTGTAGATGTGACTCCATCGGTAGCCGGAGCTTGCTAGCCGCTCCAGCTCACGGGACAGCACATTTAACTCTACATCCGCCAACTCAAATCTGCAACAGAGAGAAGTAGATACACGATACAGCCATCACATTTCCGATTCACTGAAGAAAGGGAGGAAAAAAATTCAGTGGGTCCGATGCATGTAAGAGATGCACCCAAAAAAATACATATGTCGAAGGCAATTAGTCAAATCAGGCATTTTGTCAAATCAGGCATTTTGTCAAATGCCTAGGCAAATAGTCAAATATTCTGACTTGGATTCAAATTTTGAATTTTTACCCTAATTTTAGACAAAATAATTCCTTGCTCCTTTGAAAGATAGAATTATTTGTAAAAATATGAAGTATACAATAGTATTTTAGACAATTTTAAGATCCTGAAAGCATATTTATCATCCCTGGTAAAAATTGACAGTAGAATCTGTGTTCCAAAATACCACAGACCTAAAGCCGGCTGTAAGATTTTCAATAGCTTCTACAGCCGGATGCACAATTTCTTATAGCCTTTTATAGTCGATGGCGACTAAGCAACAGCCAGGCGATAAAGTGTATGCTAAATGTTACTAATAACGGATGCTAGGACTTATTGAGTTTTTGAACTACCGCTCTATTTTTGGGCCGTAGTATCTTGATTTATTTCGCGCGGAAAGCTGCGTACTTTTGAAGGATGCCTGCCATTCCTAATATGTTGGAGCGCCTTCAATTTCGTATGATACTGTGCAATACCTCTGGTGTGAAATAGTTGCTTCAAGCGCCGTGGCACGCTGCGGCGCGGCGGGCAGGTAGCCAGCGCGAAAAGCGCATTAGCGCCTACAAACCTAACAGGGATACTTCACGCATCGCGCAATGCGTGAAGTATCCCTGTTAGGTTTGTAGGCGCTAGTGCGCGCTTAACTCTGGCAGCACGCCGCTCCGCTCTGTGTTAGGCTCCAATATATAATCTCGCGGAGTCAGCGTTTTTCAACCCATGATTTTAAAATGTTTGCACATCCTGTATGGATTATTCTCATTTTAATTGATGAAAAAAATATGTATTAAAGGGAAATATAAGGTGTGTTTTATAAATATTATGGTGGTTCCGTATCAAACTTAATGATTTCCAAAGCGTACGAATTTCTACACAATTTCTTATAGCCTTTTATAGCCGATGGCGATAAAGTGTAAAGCCTGGCGATAGGAGCTATAGTCCGGCTGTATACTTTTTTTATCGCTTCGTATAACCCGGCTATATGAAATGCTCCGCTTTCTACAGCCAGCTATACGATTTTATATTGCCTTCTTTAGCCGGCTATAAGAATTCCTATGGTATTTTGAAACGCAGCTCCTATCGCCAATTTTTACCAGGGATGAGATTTTCAGCACGTCATAAAACATAGAACTTTTGAAATTTTAACATTTAAATGTAATAAAGGCACGTAAAAAGGAAGGAGCAAGGAGAGTTTGCGGATTTGAAGAGTTATTCTCTCCAAAATATTGAGAACCCGTGAATTCCTCGCCATAAATTTACAGAATTCCGTAAACTGTCAAAATTTGACTACGGGCCTAGGCATTTGATAAAATGTCTGATTTGACTTATTGCCTTCGACAGATACACTCTACAGATACAATTTCACGAAAATCAAGCTGGACACATAAAAAAAGTCTGAAATCCATTCCTTAGGGTGCAATTTACGTAGTTTGTAACGCGCTTTTTCAAGTTTCCCGCGTCACACAGCGGACCGAGTCAATAGGAGAGGTCGGACAAAATTCGCAAACTTTAGACGCTTATAACTCCGTTTGTACAAAATTTTGAAGTTTCGAAAGTGGCTCTTTAGGTTTCCTCGTGAAATTTTCTTCAAGGAACACCCCTTACAACTGAACATGTGACGAAATATACATCAAAATTTGAAATTTTATCCAAAAATTCCATGTCCGATCTCTTCTATTGGCTCGATCCGCACTGTGCGTCTGGGGGCAGTTTTTCTCAGTCACCGCCGACCAGGTTTGCATGGACAGAAGAGTCGGAAATTCTAATCTAAATTAACAAACGATCTCACTAACTTTTTCTATGGTATGATTTCAATCTTTTTCAAGCGTTTGTTTCCTTTTGTCATTCCTTATTTTGAAAAAATAAAAGTTTTGAATGAATTAATATCTTACGCAAGGAAAATTTATAACAGTTTGTGAGATTGTTTGTTTATTTAGGTTAGATTCCTTCTCGGGAAAATTCCACGGAAAATTCTTCACGCAAAGATGGAAAATCAGGGATACTTCAAGAAATGACGTCGGATTCAGGTGTGTATCAAATTAAGAGATAAAGTATGCTCCCTGGATTGTAGCATCCGCAGTGGCAATTCTTGAAAGTTGGCAAGACTGTTTTTCCTCCATTTAAATGTATGTAAAACAATCGATTTTTTGCGAGGCAGTTTGCCTCGCCTAAAATCGATATTTTGAATGGATTTCAATGGACGAAAAACAGTGCTGCCGACTTGAAAAATCGCCACTGAGCATCTGTTATAGGCGTTTTGGTAATAACGCATAGTCTAAGTGCCGAAAGGGTAATTTTTAGGCCACAGTAATTGCAACCCTGCTAATATATTCAGTCCTAAATTTGCATAGAGGATTTAACTGAATACAGAGGCAGGTTTCCCTGTAATCATGTCATGCAACACAATGGCGGCCTCTACTTTAGAAGCTTTTCATGAGCTTTTTTCTGTGTGTGTCGCACTAGGTGGTTTGAGAGTTAATTTTATGCGTAGCCGCTGACACCATCGCGAGGAAGGGAGCTGGAAAAAAATCTTTACATGTTTGGAAGCCCTCGAGTAGTAAAAAAAACAAGTGACATTACCATTCCCCCTCCCCCCTCCCCCCAAGACCCTTCTGTTTTTGAGGACAAACATAAATAAAGAAAATTTAAAACCTGAGTTTTGCTCGAAAGAAATTGTATACGATTTTCTTTACTGTAGCAGAATTTTCATGCCTTCTTCAATTGATTTTGCATCGGGGAAACTTCCTTTACTCTTGGTCTAATTTTATTTATTTATGTATTTATTTATTTATTTTTCAAAGTTATTTGAGGTCGCAATTAATCCATTTGAGGATTCTGCAGCCTTGATTGAGCATCGGGTTAGGGTTAGTGCACATCTAAGCTCCAGGTTTTCAAATTTTCAGGGATTAAGGCTGAGTAGAATCTGTTTCTGCAGATCCACTCGTCAGTTCCATGAATATTTGTCGCCACCACCGTAATTCGAGCCAGGGACCTATTAACCTAGAGCCAGACGCGCTGATCACTAGACCAACCTTGCCGACTGGTTTTTTCATTGTTTCAAAAATGGAACTAAGGCAGAGTTTTGCTGGAGGCTATAGCAGAAAGAGGACAAGATCATTAAGCAAGGTGCGAATTTTTGCATTTTACTGCTAAAGTAGGAAACCACGTATCTCCATCACAGCAGTGCTTCAAAATCTATGTTCTTTACTTTATTTTTTCAAGGAGAAGCGAGTCAACCATATGACTTGAAATTACACGGAATATTCTGCTAATAGAGAAGAAAATTCAAGAAAATGTTCAAGAAATTACGTCGACTTAGTTTTCCAAAGATAAAATAAAGTAAAACCGTAAGTCTGCAACATTGCAAACGGAGATATACGTGGTTCCGCACTTTCGTCATCGATATACGTTTTCACTATCCTCATCAAAATTTCACATATAGCTCACGATTTGTGCGACAAAAATCACCGGGAATAACTCCTAACTCACGCAGATTGTGAAGTTAGCGGTGAATTTTGGTTTTCTTAATGTGCTTCTTGTAACTTTTTAGTCACTTCCTTCGCTTTTTGCTTCAACAGAAGTTTTCAACAGACCCATTGATCTATTTTTGGAGAAATTAGAAACGTTCATGACGCTCATAAAGTTTAGAAAGGGACTACCCACACCCTCCTTTTTACGCAGTCTGGAGTTCGAGGATTCACGATGAACCTTTAACATTTTAAGTGATAAAAGTAGGCCACGTCTACGTTCAAGTTAAGATTCATCTCCCAATTGACGCAATTTTAAGTAATCAATCATCCCACCTTTAATCTTTTCCCTGGAATTATCAGTTTTTTTTTCTAATTTTCAATTAAAGTGGCATACTATAACATGAGCCTCAAAAACAAAAGCTACTTGAAGGGATGTGTCCCATTAAGGAGGGTATTTTTGCTCTAACTTTGGTCGAAAATTGAAACAGCTTAGAATGATGTCATGTATGGTCAAATCGACTCTTAGTTATTTACCCTGTGCGAAATTGTCCTTATTTGAGGTGTTTTTGAGAGGTTTTTTTCTGATTTACCAGCGCAAAGTAGTCAAGTTTTGCAGTTTTCTCGAATAATTGCTCATTTTCGGTCCTAAATTAGATTTTTTATGTATGAGCACAAGCGACCACTTTTTTTTTCAAATATGTTGTAATGGGTGTACTAAAGATTAACATATTTGAATATGAAAGTGGTAGTCCCCTGCGCTCATACATAAACAATCTAATTTAGGACCGAAAATGAGCGATTATTCAAGAAAACTGCAAAACTTGACTACTTTGCGCTGGTATATCAGGCAAAAAACCTTTCAAAACCACCTTACATAAGGACATTAAGTTCTCACATGGTAGATGGCGAAGAGTCGATTTGACCATACATGACATTATTCTAAGCTGTTTCAATTTTCGACCAAAGTTAGGGTCAAAATACCTTCCTTAATGGGACACATCCTTTTCGCAAAATTTGAAGGCGAAACGGTCTCTAGGCAGTAAAAGCAGAGCTCCCCGGGTTCTGGAACTGATTCTTTCAGATAATACATTCCCTGATGAATCCCGGTTGCCCGGTCATTCCCGGTCCTAAGTAACATGCTCAAAACCTCGGAAGGATCACCCTAAAAAGGCTGTATCTATCGAGGGGAGGGGGAGGGGGATGAAAGTAAAATGAATCCGTGAACTTACTTGAATAAATCCTCCCTTGAAACTTCATCGAATACGTTGACGCATCGTCCGAATGCAAAATCTGTGAACAGAAAACAAAAAACATTAAAAATCAAATACCAAAAAAAAAAAAAAGATAAAAAAGAAAAAAGAAAAAGATTTCAATAAAAGCTCCTCACAATACAGCCAATCAAATGTAACTTCGGTGGGAGCCTAAGCGTCAAAGCATATCGACGGTGAAACTATCAGATCACGTATCTCGTTTGTATGTTCAAAAATCTCCGCTCCAATTTTATTTTTTTGAAGAACAAATTAATATTATTTTCTGGAGTTTTCATAGAGTTTTCTTTGCACAGTGAGGAAAAACTGTGGAAGTTTTCAATAATTAACGTTGAGTAGTTTTTCATTAAAAAAATACAGCGTGGCAGGAATTCTGCTACGTCGCAAACCGAGATACGCGGTCTGCTATTTTCACGGTCGATATGTAACTTCATTGGTCCACTAGACGTAAAATCGTTTAATTTTACTCGATTTGTGGTTTAATTTGCAAAATGTTCCATGTTTAATGAAAAGTAACTGACTATAGTCGGTGAGCCGTCTCAGTTGCGCTGTATTCAGTATACCAATCTCGAGCAAACATTTTTGCACATCGCTAGCTACATTCGCTACCTCATTTTTTACTGTCCTACAATTTTGCGTAAAACAGACAAAGAGAATTAGAACCGTGAAGCACGCATAATACTGGCGAAAATTCGTTACACAGTTGTACTTACAGTAAATTCAAATTTTCCGCTCGCGAAAATTCACAAGCAACGCACTGCTGTGATAGCGAAGATAGCAGTAAGTGCCAAATTTTCGAATAACAAAAACAGCAAAATTCATCTTAATTGTATGAAAACGAGACATATTATGAGAAAGTCGTTATTGCGAAAAAAATTACGTAGTTTCAAGCCGTAAGTGACATTATTCCTCCAGAGAGTCAATGAATACAGTGCTTTCAAGTAAATTGCCGCCCTCTCCTGCCGATTTCTAACCTGAAAATGTGTTTGTTGTGTGTCCAAAACGCAACCACAAAAGCATGCAGAAGATAGCACTTACAGCTGTCTTGCCTAGCAGTAACTTAGCATGAAAATAAAAAAATACGCTTTTTGTGCAATTGAAATAGAATCGGTCGATTTTCAATCATCCAAACAGTTTCTAAGAATCTTTCTGGTGATTAGGGACAGTTTGACAAAAAACGGATGCTTCTTTCAATACAATTTTCCGGTCACATGCCTCTGAGCCCATTTTCTCAAAACTTCATTTTTACACTTACTGCTCTCTTCGTTATCACGGCAGCGCTGGCCAAACAAGACATAGAAATCATCCTATATTAGACGGTTAAAATCAGATCATCGGAGTAGGGGCTCAGATTAATCAGAAAATGCGATTGGTCCAGTTAATCTTCTGCTAAGATCGACGACACTTTAGAAACGCCTTCATTGAGAGAAGATACTTCCTAGCGTGGCCTCAGAGGTCGAATAGTTGCATCGTTCAAAAATCCAATCACCCGTGTAGCAGTATTTATTGGCGAGTAATGTGGTTCTTCGGGGGATATTTCTTCGATGAAAAGTGACGACGTGTAAGAATCGCCTTCACTGAGAGAAGATACTTCCTAGCGTTGCCTCAGAGGCCGAATAGTTGCATCATTTGAAAATTCCATCAAAGGTGTAGATCAAGCTTAAGCAAATAACCATAGTTTAGTTTGCGCACATTCCTGATAAAATTATTTTCAATATTGTCCAAATAATAATAAAACAAGCAGGAAGCTCCAACGCATTCGCGTCGGAGAGCGGCTCTGGCGACAGTAGTTGTAGTCAAGAATGAGGGCCTAGACACATTTTGTCACTGATGTACAATCCGACAACTGTCGATTCATGTTTTGTAACTTAGCAGATTTACGTAGCCGGTGTATAAATGTGTATTGGCCCTTGATATGCAGAATGCATGGCACTATCACTTGTTGTATACTTTTAATTTTGAAGGCTCTTTGGAGGTCCGCATCCTAAAAATTTTCTCCCTCAGTATTTTTTTTAACTTGTCGTTGTGATTGGGCGCCAATTTCTTTCAATTGAGTGATCATCTTCTTTTTTTGTCAAATAACTAGCTTGTGCAACAATAAGACTGAAACTGACTGTAACTGAAATTTTGTCTTTTTAGATATTTGGTTATTTTGTATTTATTAGATTGTATATTTTCACAGCCCTGTGATAAGAAACTTTGGAATGCATGGTTGATAAGTCGTTTAGCGAGGCTGCAAAAAATTTGCATTTTTATATCTGAAATTGTAGGTAATGGTTTTGAATATCGAATTGCGATAAATTACACGGTTAAGATAGGGCTATATGTCTTGTCGTAAGCGGCGACATAGAGTCGATGTCATTTCAATAATCGCCCCGATGGCCACGGTTAGACGTTTACGGTTTCCTTGGTAACCTTTGTTTGCTATCAGCTGATATCGAGTAATATGACTAGGAAGCTCCAACCCAGTGGTTGGAGCTTCCTTAACCGCGAAAACTTTAAAATTCAAATTTTCAAATTTTGAACGTAAAGTACATTTTTTCCATTACGAGATTAAAGCACAGACAAGTTTTGAATTATTGACTGTATCACCATGATTCCAAAAATACACTACACAACATAGCATTGGCTAACAATAAAACAATATGCAATAAAATAAAGTCATGACAAGGAACATAGCCGAAAATGGCGCCGATTCCCATTAACCAACGCGCGGTCTCTCCAATGTAACATGGTCCAATGATACTCCCCAGCTGGGACCGTCCGGAATAGCAGCTCTAGTGCAAGCACCAGAGCCGCTAAAAAACTGAGGTAGAAAGTCAAGAATGATAACACGCAGTCCTACAGCATTCATACAGTCGTGTAGGAACTACTATGCGTTTCACGCCGACCGACCCACTGCCCAGCGTTTAGCGCAATGCGGGAAGTATCCATGCACTCTTGTAGGCGCTAGTATGGGCTGTACGCCGACCGCACTGTTTTGCGCAACGCGTGAAGTATTCTTAAAGTCTTGCAGGCGTCAATATACGTTTAACGCCGGCCGCACTGTGTTTGGCGCGCTTATTCGATCTCGCGTTAGAATAATCGCGGCATCGAATAATAAAGCTTAGATGGCCTATGTTGTGCTTCGACGCTGCGCCGTATGAGCATTCCAACGTTGCCTCGTTTCTTCCGAATAAATATTTTTTCCGAGAAAAGTTAGGAAAGTTCCTTATACTCATGATTATTATTCAATCTTTTCACTTCACTTGTCATCAGAAGGTAAGACATCGATGACTTGTCAACAAACTAACCTAAACTAGCGTTAACATAAAAATGCGTTTATTTCCCAACTGTCCTGTTTTGACAATCTTTTATCTTGAATTAACTTCATTTTAAATTCGCGCATTCCTGTAGCAGATTTTAAGGTTTCTATTCGCGCAATCCTTGTGCCTTTTTCGCGCAATTCTCATATATTTTCTTAGACCTTTAGCGCAATCCTGCATTACTGTTTTTAAGGATGCGTTAAAAACGTACTTCCTAATTGCAAAATGTGGTCCATTTCGTAACCTGTCTAGTGGTTCATTAAAAGTGAGCAGACCCGTCAAACGCTCACACACTTTTTCCCTTGGGCTTTTTTAATTTTAGGTTGAAAAAAGACTGAATTTCAGGTGTTTTTTTCTTCTTTTTTTATCTTCATTTGATTTGCCCGGAGCTGAAGTAATGGGAACGTCGATTCGGGTGGAAAACCTCTCTAAATTTTCGTCTCCTCGAGGCAGAACAAGCTCTCGGTGTAATCTTCCCCGCGTTGTTACGACGAAGATTTCCCAGCAAAATGGCGGCAATGCGAGAAACTCGATCCCTTGGCTCTTGTAAAATATATAGCTCGTTAAATTACCTCTAATCCATGTTTTCGACTCGGTTGTCACAGCGGAGGGCACCGGTGTTGCCAAAGATACGGAAAAACACCCTCCTCGAGATAAGACGTTTCGTTTTCAAGCGCAGAAGTGCCAACATCAAAGGTGAGAAATTTCCTGCGAGATGCCTCAAATATCTCGGGGCAGGCCAGTTATAATGAGAGGAAAAGCGAGTGGGTGTAAGGGAAGGGTACGCGATGGCCAGTTCGTGCTAAAAATCAGCCCTTTTCAAAATACAGGGTGTAATAAAAGTCCCCCAGTCACATCTGTCGTGCTGAAGAAAAACGCCGTATGAGCATTCGAATGTTGCCAAATTGACTCTCAAAAAAATTTAATTTTGAGGAACTTCATAAATTTTTTCCCTTGATACTTCTAGAACCTCGGTATCAAAATTGCGGTTAAAATTATCCGAAAAATTGAAAGAAAATTATTTACGAATCTTCCCAAAGATTTGTGAGTTGACAAAGGAGATTTGGCAACGCGTGAAGGCTCATACAGCGTTCTTTGTTAGCACGGCAGGACTTAGCGTTTGAACGGTTGAAGATAGAGAAATGAAACTTTGCGATGTTTCCAGTCTTACAGAGAATTATCTATTGTAGGGGTCAACTTTTTTGAGACCCTACTCTTCTTTTTCAAGACGCAACCCCTACTTTGGAACCCCTACGCATCGTCAGGAGAGAGATTAAAAAAAAAAAAAAAAAAACATTGTCGCAAATTGAAGGTCTCTACAGCTATTAAAGTTTTAAAATTGCGCCCGATCAAAGAATTGTAAATTTCGACTTTATCGAGGCGTTATTTTGAATGGAGATGTTGCATGTGTGAGGAATTTGCGATTTGACTATTGATTCTTATGTAAAAGTATATGGATATTTTGCACATCCTGTATAACTCACTATGCGTACTTATTTTATCGCGAAGCTTGGCAACATTTGAGGATTATAAGTGAGAGGTGAGAAGAAGTGCTGGATCGGTGGAGGAGGCGGAGGGGGCGTGGTCTGAACTTGGAGCGAACTTTTTCCCTGGGCACCCCGTTGGCCCCTTGGTTGCCGCCGTATTTTCGGGGAAGTTCGTGTGCGGTGATAAAATCGCTAAATTTGGGGGAATTTGGCAACGCAGCGCCACCCGC